GTGAAAGGCGAATACCTGAACAAGATAAGAACGGATCCGCGGGCTGTTGCACTCAAAAGATCCATTCGCATACACAATTGTTATAAACGCATACAAAAACGCAATCGACCAGAAAATATCGAAGGTGTAAGCAAAGCCGAATTAATTTCGCTCAAAACATTGGAATGAATTCATAGAGATTAACCTACACAGTATTAATTAGATTTCATAGATTCAAGGAGGTCGGCCTACGTAGTATCAGCTTGCGGGCGCCAAAAAAAACAAAATAATCCGTCAAAAACAATCCACAAATCAGGACCAAAACATCCGCAAAAACACGATCTCACAAAACTTCATACGCTCTTCCTAAAGCAACGCATGAACCGAGCTCTCAGGGACCAAGGTCCAGGCCGTGGTGGGTGTGCTAAAAAAAAGAGCAAATCTTATAGAGCCCGTGCCGGCAAAACATTTTTTGTAACTCAGTGCGAAAAACATGCCGTTCTCCAAACACAGGTTGCGAGATGCACTGAGGGCCGGGCTAGTCGCGATAAAGTCACGCCAAAAGAGTCAGCGAAAGGCGGTCGCCCAAACAAGATGAGAACGAATCCGCGGACCGTCGGCCTCAAAAGATCCGTCTACATACGCAATTGTTGCAAACGCAAGCAAAAACGATCGAGGATATAAACAAAGTTGAATTGATTTCGCCCAAAATATTGGGATGAATTCATAAAGGTTGACCGACACGATATCTGTTGGTTTTCATGAATTCATAGAGGTCGGCCTGCGCAGTATTAATTTGCCTCAATTATTGGTTTAGATTGGTAGTTTGGATCGGTATTTTGGAGATTAGGAAGTAATATCCTAGGGGTCAAGATCCAGGCCGTGGTAGGTGTGCTAAAAGTATCAAAATTTGGAAAGCCCGTGCCGGCAAAATATGTTTTGCAATTCAAGCACCAACATATTTGATTATATCGTATATATCAAACAATATTTCCAAACATAGGTCGCGAGATGCACTAACTGCCGGGCTAATCGCGATAAGGTCATGCCAGTGAAAGGCGAATACCTGAACAAGATAAGAACGGATCCGCGGGCTGTTGCACTCAAAAGATCCATTCGCATACACAATTGTTATAAACGCATACAAAATCGCAATCGACCAGAAAATATCGAAGGTGTAAGCAAAGCCGAATTAATTTCGCTTAAAACATTAGAATGAATTCATAGAGATTAACCTACACAGTATTAATTAGATTTCATAGATTCAAGGAGGTCGGCCTACGTAGTATCAGCTTGCGGGCGCCAAAAAAAACAAAATAATCCGTCAAAAACAATCCACAAATCAGGACCAAAACATCCGCAAAAACACGATCTCACAAAACTTCATACGCTCTTCCTTAATAACCAAATATTAAAAAAAAAAAATAATAAAAAAAATTAAAAAATAAAAGAAAAAAAAAATAATAGAAAAAAAACGGGATCTGTCTGAAATAAAAAAGCAACGCGTGGGAAGCTCTCAGGGACCAAGGTCCAGGCCGTGGTGGGTGTGCTAAAAAAAAGAGCAAATCTTATAGAGCCCATGCCGGCAAAACATTTTTTGTAACTCAGTGCGAAAAACATGCCGTTCTCCAAACACAGGTTGCGAGATGCACTGAGGGCCGGGCTAGTCGCGATAAAGTCACGCCAAAAGAGTCAGCGAAAGGCGGTCGCCCAAACAAGATGAGAACGAATCCGCGGACCGTCGGCCTCAAAAGATCCGTCTACATACGCAATTGTTGCAAACGCAAGCAAAAACGATCGAGGATATAAACAAAGTTGAATTGATTTCGCCCAAAATATTGGGATGAATTCATAAAGGTTGACCGACACGATATCTGTTGGTTTTCATGAATTCATAGAGGTCGGCCTGCGCAGTATTAATTTGCCTCAATTATTGGTTTAGATTGGTAGTTTGGATCGGTATTTTGGAGATTAGGAAGTAACATCCTAGGGGTCAAGATCCAGGCCGTGGTAGGTGTGCTAAAAGTATCAAAATTTGGAAAGCCCGTGCCGGCAAAATATGTTTTGTAATTCAAGCACCAACATATTTGATTATATCGTATATATCAAACAATATTTCCAAACATAGGTCGCGAGATGCACTAACTGCCGGGCTAATCGCGATAAGGTCATGCCAGTGAAAGGCGAATACCTGAACAAGATAAGAACGGATCCGCGGGCTGTTGCACTCAAAAGATCCATTCGCATACACAATTGTTATAAACGCATACAAAAAACGCAATCGACCAGAAATTATCCTAAGTAGTAAGCCAGCCGGAACTTAATTTCGCTCAAAACCTGGAATGAATTCATAGGAGATTAACCTACACAGTATTAAATTAGAGTTCATAGATTCAGGAGGTCGGCCTAGTAGTATCAGCTTGCGGGCGCAAAAAAAAACAAAATTTAATCCGTCAAAAACAATCACAAATCAGGACCAAACATCCGCAAAATTAAGATCTCACAAAACTCATTACGCTCGTCCTAAAGCAAGCATGAAACCGAGCTCTCAGGGACCAAGGTCCAGGCCGTGGTGGGTGTGCTAAAAAAAAGAGCAAATCTTATAGAGCCCGTGCCGGCAAAACATTTTTTGTAACTCAGTGCGAAAAACATGCCGTTCTCCAAACACAGGTTGCGAGATGCACTGAGGGCCGGGCTAGTCGCGATAAAGTCACGCCAAAAGAGTCAGCGAAAGGCGGTCGCCCAAACAAGATGAGAACGAATCCGCGGACCGTCGGCCTCAAAAGATCCGTCTACATACGCAATTGTTGCAAACGCAAGCAAAAACGATCGAGGATATAAACAAAGTTGAATTGATTTCGCCCAAAATATTGGGATGAATTCATAAAGGTTGACCGACACGATATCTGTTGGTTTTCATGAATTCATAGAGGTCGGCCTGCGCAGTATTAATTTGCCTCAATTATTGGTTTAGATTGGTAGTTTGGATCGGTATTTTGGAGATTAGGAAGTAATATCCTAGGGGTCAAGATCCAGGCCGTGGTAGGTGTGCTAAAAGTATCAAAATTTGGAAAGCCCGTGCCGGCAAAATATGTTTTGCAATTCAAGCACCAACATATTTGATTATATCGTATATATCAAACAATATTTCCAAACATAGGTCGCGAGATGCACTAACTGCCGGGCTAATCGCGATAAGGTCATGCCAGTGAAAGGCGAATACCTGAACAAGATAAGAACGGATCCGCGGGCTGTTGCACTCAAAAGATCCATTCGCATACACAATTGTTATAAACGCATACAAAAACGCAATCGACCAGAAAATATCGAAGGTGTAAGCAAAGCCGAATTAATTTCGCTCAAAACATTGGAATGAATTCATAGAGATTAACCTACACAGTATTAATTAGATTTCATAGATTCAAGGAGGTCGGCCTACGTAGTATCAGCTTGCGGGCGCCAAAAAAAACAAAATAATCCGTCAAAAACAATCCACAAATCAGGACCAAAACATCCGCAAAAACACGATCTCACAAAACTTCATACGCTCTTCCTAAAGCAACGCGTGAACCGAGCTCTCAGGGACCAAGGTCCAGGCCGTGGTGGGTGTGCTAAAAAAAAGAGCAAATCTTATAGAGCCCGTGCCGGCAAAACATTTTTTGTAACTCAGTGCGAAAAACATGCCGTTCTCCAAACACAGGTTGCGAGATGCACTGAGGGCCGGGCTAATCGCGATAAAATCACGCCAAAAGAGTCAGCGAAAGGCGGTCGCCCAAACAAGATGAGAACGAATCCGCGGACCGTCGGCCTCAAAAGATCCGTCTACATACGCAATTGTTGCAAACGCAAGCAAAAACGATCAAGGATATAAACAAAGTTGAATTGATTTCGCCCAAAATATTGGGATGAATTCATAAAGGTTAACCGACATGATATCTGTTGGTTTTCATGAATTCATAGAGGTCGGCCTGCGCAGTATTAATTTGCCTCAATTATTGGTTTAGATTGGGTATTTTGGAGATTAGGAAATGGTGTCCATTTAATTTCAACATAATCCAAGGGGGTAAAAAAATCAAACCACCAATCCAAACCAATAATTAGGGGTAAATTAAGGCGGACGCCAAGAAAGGCAATACAATCAAAAAGAATTCCAACATATTTCAACCCATAAATAAAATAAATCAAAAATACAATCTCATAAAATTTCATATAGCCGAGCTCTCAGGAGCCAAAATCCAGGCCGTAATGGATGTAAATACAAACAAAAATACAATCAATCAAAAAATCCAATTATATAAACAACACCTAATCAAGTTCGTCCAAAATATTAGCAAAATACCATTACTCACAATAATTAATTTTAATTCATATTCTCCAAATATAAATCAAACAAAATAATTATAAATAAACCAATATATATTCCAAATCTATATTTTAAAAACCATAATGATTTGGTTCAATATCCAATCCATAATTAATTCCCATATGTTTTATTTTTATATATTCCAAATAATAATCAAAATAGCCCAAATAAATTCAAATATAAGAATTATATAAAATATAATATTTTCTAAAAATAATCCAAATCAATTTGTCAAAATATCCAGAAATTTTCAACAAACCAATCCAACAAAATACACCCACAAATACAACAAATACATTTCATAATTTTATTTTATACAATAAACTTAATATATTTCAATTCAAATTTATCAATTTATTATATTATATATAATAAATTTTATATAATATATAATATAATATCTAATTAATCTACAATTATATTTCCAAATATTACCATCATAACATATCCTATTTCTATAATCAATTTAATATAAATCATATATCAATATATTCATAAATCGACATATATTATACCAATAATAAGAGCTCACAATTTGTGATTAACTCATGTAAAATAATTAAAATCATAGATCCATGGCTATATAATCCTTGATGGCAAAATAGGGGGGCAATCCTTAAGTAACGTATCTATTTATTGTTTGGTTTTTCTTTTTTTTACCCGTTCCAATTTCATTGAATTCAATATGATGATTGTGATGATTTGGATATGTTATGTACACTTTGCTGATGGCCCCGCAAAGTACTCGAAATAACATCAGAATTGCTCTGGAACTTGACACCAAACGTCTTAGAAGCCGCCACTCATGTAGGGCTCGTAGTGCAGGGCAATGGCAGCCATCAACACAGGCACCAGTGCTGAGACCTGGGCGCCATCGCAATCCCAAGGGAACTGGCTACAGAAACCCGAGGAAAGTCGATTCGACCGGATTGGTCTCAAGGTGTCGCAAGACATCCAAACGGCCCGTGCTCGAAAATGCGGGGCCCCATGTCTGCAGTTGTTTTGAGAAGCAGCACCAGCCCCAATCAGGACCAACTCCATTCCGCGGCTGAGTCTCCAGCCACCTTTCCTCGCAAGCAGTGCACCCAGCCAACGGCACTGCAAAAACACAAGTTGTGCATTGCACAAGCCAGAGGTACACTGTGCATGAGCTTTCACTGCAGTTGACCAGATTCCCTGGCTGTCCTCCTCTTGCCTTCGCTGGCCCTGACCGGGCTTGACTCAACTTCAGACTGACTACACCCTGTGGACAGGTGCGCAACTGTGCATTGCGTGCGTGTGTCTAGCCGGATCAGTTGTTTGGTCAGTCACATGAGCAGCAAGCCTTTCTCCCATCAAGGCAAAGCAGCATGGGAAGGTGCAACAAAGGTACACCAGTACACGTAGGTGTTTGTTGCTTTCTTCGAAAGGACCATTCGGGCTGGGCTTCCTGATCCCTTCAAACTTGTTGGGTCCTGCCTGCTGGCTGTAGCCGCGCTTTCTCCAAAGCCTCGCTTCAACTGAGCTTTGCAAAACATAAATCCACTCTGCAATTTCTACCTGAGTGTCCAATCAGCCCGCCCGTTTCGAACAATACAAAGGATGCATGCGTTTAAACATCCCCTAATCAATAGAATAGATCGGAGCCGCGGCACTCAACACAAACCACTGTCTGTGAAGGGCCCCAAGGCTCACTTTTATCTTTTTCTGCTCTGTTCCCCCCTCTAAATGTCTGCTCAAACAAAAATGCACCCCTTCAATCCACAGGCCAGCCTCCTGCAGGCTGGCAACTTGCGCCTTCCGGCAGCAGGGCGCCCTCAGCACAGCGTTCAGGCTGTGAAAGGTTTCTGAGCCGCGAGGGTTTTCCTTTTGTAGTGCTTCTTGGTGGAATGGTAACTACCTGGAAGCACCCACACAACGCATTTGTGGATGCACGAGTGACTGTGCACTTGAGATCCACCAGCCGCCCGCTTTGAAAGTTTCATGCAAGGGTCGTAACCAAACACATCACATTCATTGAGCGATCTGTGACTTGTGCAGTATGCTGAAGCTAGGTGTCAACTCAGGCAGGCGCAGTCCAGCCTGGTTTGGAAGGAACTTGCAACGATTGATCCAATCCGGAAAAACTCAAACATGCCGCTTTCCGCTCCTGACTTTCGCAAGGGGAAGGGTTGCGACCATCTGCTCCCCAAACATGGAAGGCACGTGGCTGCTCAATGCGCTGAAGCACATGCGAAGGCCACATGCCAAGTGATGCCTGTTCACTCGCGACCAAAGGTTTTGAAGCCAAAACCAACCAAAACGTACTGAACCACTCCAGCGTTTTTCTCGGGGAAACAAACAAAAAAGGAGCTGGTGTTCCGAGTTTCCAATACCTCCTTGAGTCAGGGCTTGACATACCCTGAAACCAGTGGGTTGAAGATTTTGGCCGTTGGGATTCCAACAAGTTGAGATATGAATTTGTCAATTCTGGGCGATTTCAGACATATGGGTGGATGTTTTGATAACCTTTCTGGGGTGGTAGGGGAAACTAAAACACAGTTGCAAACAATTTGCCATTCCTCCTGCAGTTTCACAGTAGCAAAGAAACAGCCGACACTAAAAAACAAAGAGCTACATTGAACACAAACATGTTACATGTTACATTTAAATACATGTTACATGCAGAAAGCATGACATGGTCGTGGCATCATTTTAGCAGGGGCAGGCTGACTACGTTGGGAAGCAACCGCTTGCGGCTGCCCAAACTTCAACCTGGAAACAACATGAAACAACCACGTTTGATGCCGCTCCACACAAAAAACGGAATCCTTACAAACGCAACAATACATCTCAGCAAGGGTGTCTCTTGGTTGACAAAACGATCCGTGCCGTGGTTACCCCTCAACTTCCGGTACTCCGCACTCAAACCCAACAGATCTGCAGGCGCGCCTGTCGGCGGCAGCAGCAGCCCTCCACCTTGCAGCCGGTGGCCTTGGCCGGCGTCGGACCCTTCCCGCCGCTCTGTGCCAAGCCATTCCGGCAAAAGTGGTTAGCATGAGCTTCGCCGGTCCAGACGTTCGCCATAGGTTGGCCACATTGCAGCCAGATTTCACGTGTCCTCAAATTCACGAAGTCCTTGCAGCATATGCCCTCCAAGACTTCGGTGCAGCTTCCGTTCAACAAGGCCCAGGCGTGCGTCAAGCTGAGCTCCACCTGCCAGAGTGGCAAAACACGACCTATTGATCCGGCAACTTCAAATCGCCCATTGCCGTTCAGTGAACACCGATCACACGGCACCACACAACACGACGTGTCAGTGATTCGTCTCACCAGTTTGCCCACGAGCTATCACTAATTTGAGAACGCCTACGGCAGCCTGCAACAAAGCGTTGTCTGACATCAGAGTCACCTGCAAAGATTCCTCGCTGAGGCCCGCCAGCTTGGCCTGGCAATGGCTTGCGGGAATAGCTTGCAATTAAGAAGTACCTGAGCATCCTGATGCTTGCCTAACATATGGGTGTCTGATACACACCCATATGTTCCAAATCTGGATGGCCATTGACAGAAACAGCATACAGGCCACGGTGATGTTCTTCTAAATCTCTCACTGCGATGCCCCGCTGAATTGTTTGCTCAAGATTTGGGGAATCCCGACAGAGAAAGAGGTCTTCGGTGCCAATGTTTCATCTGAATTGGCCAACGCAATCAAGACATATCAAACTACATTTTGTGCATTTCCTTTAGATCTAAGTGAGCTTGACCAATTTGCCCAGATTTTGCATGCCAGGCTCGGCGTCAATTCACGCATCCTGTGCAAATAGACCAAGCTCTCTTCCCCAGCCATCCTCCAAGCGAGCCAGCCGCCAACCAAGGAAGGTGCTGCGCAGCAGCCTTAGGCGCTCACTTGGCAGTTTGGCGCATCGTCCATGGCGGTTCAACGCTTTGCTCAATTTGCGCCAGCCTTCCACTACTTCTAGTAGCCGATCCCAACAGATTGGCATTCCTTACGTAGATATGTTCCTCCATCGCACTGACAGGTCTGAAGGCACATTGCATGTCATTTGTGTTCCAACTTCCGCATGTTTGCAAGCTCCAGATTCAGCATGTCATCACGGGGATCAATAGTCAGCATCTTGGTAGATTTATACTGATATAAATATACAGAAACAGATATGCACCGCCTCGCCCCCGACCAACATGTCGTGGTGTCAGTTTCAGAACAAACACTCCAACACCCAAGCGAAGATCAATCTAACAAATATCAGAACGTTTCTGACATTTTGCCCTGTAGGGTGGATCCGCCCTGGGCACGTAGTTGCCCCGGACCCCCTTGACCGCTAGGCACGGCGCTTCTCTGGCTGTTGCACGGTGAACTGGCAGGCAACAAGGCGCGCGCAAGCTTTGGAAGAAATGAATGTGTAAAGTGGTGGCACTGAAACACGCCCCTAGCTCGGAAATGATCAGGTGGCTGACAGTCCTTGCTTTGCTTTCAGCAATGAGTCGCAACTGACGAGCTTTGCGTAAGTAGTTCATCTACGCATGTTACTACATCACTGCCTTTCTGCTGAGCGCACCTTCGTTGCGGCAGCTTCCAGCCATCTGCTGCTAACCTCTGTGAAGGGCCATTACTCGCTTCGAAAAGTCAGCCTTCAAAAATGTTCACAAAGCACGTCCACTGGTCGCTTCTTTGGATGACATGCCACTCGCGCTCAAGCCAGGATGCCCCAAATTCAGTCATGAGTTTGCACAACGTAAAACAGGTATTTACGACACCGGCAAGGCGAAACCTACCAGCCTACTGAGGTTCAAGTCTGTGGGTTGGTGCTCACTCCGGGGATCTTCAAGCAAACTTATGCCAGAGATTGCCAGAGACTCCCTCAAACATAAGTTCCTTCAAGCTGGCGTCACGGTTGAACCGCAGCCCATGCACGATGGCAGCCCGCCTGCTTTTTGACCTGCCAACGTGTGGAAGTCGGGCAGCAATCCACGAATCAAGTTACCAGATATGGCCATGGGTCAAAATCCCGTACTCCCAGTGAACACCCCAATCCCCACTAAAGTAGACTAAAATGGGTGGTGCATCTACCCCAAAATGGTACCATGCGTTTTGACCCACGGCCATATCTCCATGTCTGCGCAGTGGTGCAAAGCAGAAGGTTTTGGTGCCTGGGCTACCTGCAACTTTGCAGCATCCTCACTGACCGTGCCTCGGCGAAAGGGCTGGCTGGGATTTTTTGTGCACATCGATCACAGCTCATGCAACTTTCCTTCGGGATCAGTGCAATTTAGGCATGCAATGTTGAAAAAAGAAATGGGGGGGGGCGACCAACCCCTTCCCCAAACCTTGGACTATGGCTGTCAGCTCCCTACATCTTGGAAACCAGCGCATTTCGGTGCCGACTCACTCACTCAGAAAACACGGCGCTTCAAGGCAAACCAAAACACTGCACTTCAAACCCAACCAAAAGAATCCGGATGATACTGGCCGAGGCGGGCAGCGCGAAGCATTTACAATTACTTTGGCATTCCTGGCGTGTGGGTCAATTCTTCAAAGCCCCCCGTGACCACAGCCCCTGCAGAAGCCCCCGCCTCCCAGCTGTGCGTGTTGCAGCCTTCGGGAGAGCTCGTCCAAAGCGCCCTCGCTCTCCTGCGATTCTCTGTCATTGGGGCCCAACATCGCACCCATGCAAATCCGCCCCCCCGGCCCCCCCCCCCCCAGACGGCAATTTGTACCAGGGTTCTACGTTTTGAGTACCCCAAGATAGACTTAAACCCAGCGGTTCTCCTTTTGGCTTTTGGGGGGAACCCCCCAACAATTTGTTCGCGGCTCCCTCTTCCGTTCGTCGAAATGGACGGCCCTCTGAGGCGCCTCGTGGGCCACCACCAAGGCCGCCTTGGCCGCCTTGGCCTCCCGCAGGTCCACGGCCAGCTGCTCCAGCTCCGAGGAGAGCCTGGAGGGCGAGTCTGGTCGGTTCGATCTCATTGGTGCTTCAGGTTCTGGCGTGCCATGACCACCGACCGTTTTTTTGTTTGGGGCATGTCTCCAAATAGGGATTCCTCTCTCCTTCTTTTCCAGCCCAAAAATGAAGAGCAGCCTCAAAGAAACACACACACAATTCTTATAGAGACCCCCCGGGAGCACAGGAAAACAAGACAGGAACCGACACAACTACCCCGGAAAAAAAACAATGGGGGCCTACTCATAACGGTAATGCTGTCCATTCCATCTGTCCATTGCTCCTCTGCAAATTCGGGAACCCCCACAAAAGGTGGGTGTACTCGTGTTTTCCTTTTTCACCAACCCCAGACATACCCATCAGGGCTGCTGACAACTGGCTGACCTTTTGACTATGGCATCTCCACAACCACTCTGCCGCCAACCGTCGCAGACCGTACTCCTCCTGGTTTGTAAAGCAGCCCTTGTTTTGAGGGAAGCTGTTAAGATGGCTAAACTGGGAAGGGGGGGCGCCTGACTCATGGTTGAGAAAGATCTTGCACGTCTGGCTTGCTCTTACGGTGCCTGGGTGCGTCTCTCGATACTCGATACCCGCACGGTATGTACAAACTGTCTCCGGCATGGCCTCAGGCTGTGGGCGCGAAGCTCTTGCACCTCCATCGCCATTTCTTCCCCGCTCTCCGCTGCGCCCTGGCACGAACCACTTGAGACCCACACCTTGCCGGAACTTATGAAAAATCCGGAATCCCCTCCTTAAAATACATCCGAATGAGCTATGCCTCGATCAAACAGCACCAGCGCTTTGAAGACATGATTGACAGTGAATGGTGGAACACGGGGCAGATTCGCTCCTGCAGTGCTCTCTCATGCTCTGTCCTCCGCGACGCCGCGATTAAGTGCTGTTGTTCACATTGCTGTTCTGTGCATCACTCTCTAGTCTTCTCACAGCTTGCCGTCCACTTATGCACATGTATGCCCATCGTGGCTCAAGAGCTCAGAACGAACACCCACACCGTGCCACGCCGCCCACTTTGGAGTCTCAGTGTTTTGGTGAAGTGAGGGAGCCATTGGCATCAGCATCGTCTTAATCAGCAATGCCGGAGGAAGAGAGGGTTAGCTCTGCAAGGCAACGCAGGATCCTTGTAGGGTCCTGAAGCAGAACTTTCAACAACCCCACTTGGCTGCCCCATTTGTGGATGAGTCAACCAATGTCGAGTCTCCTCGGCAAATGAGTAGAGTTGGATGGGCACAACTCACAAAACACTTCAGTATACTATGTTGTCGAGAATGTGGCGTCCCAGGTGTAGAGACCAGAAGAGTGCTATCTTGCTTGTTCTTAAGTAACGTCGATGGCATACAGATTTGTCTGGCTGTTGTCGGGCTCTTTCTCCGTCCTCATCATAAGATGGTGCCTACCCTTCCTTCGCGCACACGGGTTCCCACGGTTTTGCTGGGATACGGCAAGCCCAACACAAGCAAGAGCTCGAAACATACTCTCATGTATGCTGGCTTCCTGGTAGGGTTGAGTGCTATCTGCGGGGTTGTTGTGGCATTGCAAGGGGAAAAGACCATGTCAATGTCGGTTCCTTTCACAAGTTTACATCTCCTCTCCATCCGTCGGAACTCCCGTCCGCCTTCAGAAATAGCAGCTCTTGCTGCAACCTCTCCGTCTTCAGGCGCTGGGCCTCTGCCTCCAGGTTCAGCTCCTGGCGGCTTAAGAGCCATGTCTTGCACATCTGTAAGCAAAGGCGTGGCGAGCCCCAAGAAAACTATGGCCCGATTTGTGTCTTTCAAATGCGGCATTCCAAGCCTAGCCGGAACAGGCATACAGAATATGTAGAAGGCCAGGAAGCAAAGGTTCTTTTTCCACACACTGGTCTCCCTGGTCTACATCAGTCCGTTCTCACTGGCGCAGGAAGCACATCCTCAGCACAAACACAACGATGGCGACTAAGAAAGCTTGAATCCTAGAGGTCTTGCTTTGCCTTTTCGTAAACGTAATCATGTCAAGTGCAACAATGATGTATTATCTCCCTTTCACGAGCACGGCCTCGAATTCAAAGGACAGCAATCCCAATCTGATCAAAGCAATTTTAGAAATGCTGACATTCGTTTATTGCCATGTCGGACGAAATAATTTGCCCGCGGCTCACGACAATCTAACGCGCATCCTCAAAGTTGCAATCAATGCGATGCCCTTAACACTACATTGTGTACAACTCCAATTCAATTCTCAGATCTCCGCAACATCTTCGAAACACCAACAACCAGGGAACTATATTGAGACACGTTGCTATCCGTCATGCTTGTGCCTAATACTTAGACAAAACAAGACTGACCACTCCGAAAACGGCACTTCCTCGTTTTGTTGCAGTCTCTAGTATTTCGTCGCTCTCGCAGGCCAAAGAGTAACGCCAGGCATGCGAAACTTTTGGGAACTCCCTTGTTGGTCGCTGTTCAAAGAGAAGTCAATATGGAACTGGCCGAACAACCATTCCATATGCAAATTACATATAGAGGTCATATTGTTTGCTTTTCCCGGCACAAGAAAAATGGAGTCCCCTGGTTGCGCGAGCGAACCTGTCCAATGCCCAAGCCTCCACCTGCTGCTGCGCGCGGTCACGCTGCTCCTCCAAGGCTGCGCGGTTGCTCTCAGCAGCCAGCAGTGCAGCCTGCTCTGCTTGGTGCCTGCACAGCTTTGAATGCCGCAGTGCGGAAACCAAATAAACCTGGGTCCATGAAGGGGGGTTGCAATATATATGTATATGTGTACAAAAGCACGTATTCTACGCAAAGGGGTTGCAATGATCATCGCCAAGATCGCACTTCAAATGCCAGAACCAACGCATTGCACAAGTCCTCTCTCCCTTCTCCAGCCTGTCGTTTTTGCGATGCTCTCGCTCGTCGTAAAGGTGAGCGCCAAGCTCGCCAACAAGCAGTATGAGAAAGCCTGGGCAAAAGAGGCAAATCTCTGCTTGAGAAATCCCATCCACTTTCTACTCACAGGACTTTCTAGCTTGTCATGATCTCGTCCTTGGACATCTGGGCTTGTTTGTCGCATGCGGCATAAGCTTAATTTCACCAGCGCCTGGGTGATTAGGCGCCTTAACAACTACCAGGACGCATCCGCAAGCAGCCAAGGCTGGGGCTGACTTCATCGCTCAGGCCATCCTCCTTCTTCAGCAGAGTCCGCAGAAGAGCATTCTTGACCTGGCGCCCGCAAGCACCCAACTTCGCGGACATTCCAGAGAAAAAAAACAACAACATCAACCACACAATGTACGAGTGCAAGACGATCGTTGCTGGGCAACAAAACCAGGTGGGAGTTTGAAGATCGGGGTCTCCCTTTGCTTCCCAACAGGAAAATCAACCACCCTCATTTGGCCATGGGTCAAAGTTAAACCACCAGGGGACCGCAGGTGTTAGTCCATGTTTCCTTTTTGCCAGGTTTCCATTTTGGGGTTGCCCTATTTTTGACCCGCGGCCATTCTGAAAAGCACCCAAATCCGTCATGAGGATCGCCTCCTCATCCAGCACCCGCAAGGGCTCGTCCAGATTCGGGTCAGCAGATCTCAGTGCCTTGCAAGGCTCAGAGTGGCATCACCTGTCACCCTTCCAAGCCACACAGGTTGGCTATGAACCTCATTTTCATGGGATGTATCCACCAACCATTTATGAGCGTGTTCCGGATTCAAAGGAGGGGCCAGCTTTGTCTGTTTTGCGTAAGTGTGTGCTAAAGAAAAACACCAGCGGGAAGCATCCATTCTGTAGCCATAGTAATGGCAAGTGTCCATACCCATCAGCGTGTTTTTTTTGACCAACAAGGAAAGTTCCAATCGCCATCGCCAACTCCAACTCTTCTCACCTGGTCCAGGTACTGCAAGCGACGCACAGGCGAGCCCAGCTGCAGCTTGGGCGGATCATCCCAACCTGAGTGCAAATGTTTACCCGCTGGCAGCGCGCCAGTTGCACATGGGCCAAGGTCAAAACCCAAATAGCCGTTTTTCGGTAACCCCCTTTTGTTTGGTCCACTCAAGAAAATCTGGGGGCTGGGGGAAATACCATGGGGTTTCTTTTCCATCTGCCTTGCTTCTCAAGCTGGGCTACACTGGTAAACCCGGGGAAATAGAATGGAACACAACTTGTAATTGTCCACATCTGTCCGCTGCAGACTTTCCTCATGCCGCATCCAACCCTGTGGCCTCTTGCTCCTTCTTGTTTGTATTATATCACACGACGACAGTCCCAGCCAATCATGCGCTTGCACAAACTAAAGATTTACATGTTCATGCCGTCCAACAACATGCAAGCTTTGATGTCACCAAGTCAAGCTCATGGGCGCTAGCACATACCCTGGCCTGCATAGCGACGGTCGAAGTAGCCTTGCCTTGGGAGCTCTCTCTCGCTCTCTCTCTCACTCTCTCTAGATCTCTCCAGTCTGTGCTTCTGTTTTCCCCCCCGTCTCCTTCACGCGTTTCAAGCTTGGTATTCAGAAACAGCCGGCTGCAGGCTGGCTCACAGATCCCAGGGGCAGCGTCTGCAAAGTCCACGGCGGCGCGCTGCCGATGTCCTCCAAGAATTCATGGTAGCCCTCAGCATCCTCAGACACCCACTGCACACACATTGCTTTCCTACACAGGCAACACAGGCTACGCTGACTAACATGGGTATGTGTGTACATGGGGGGACCCAAATCAAACACTGGTGGTTTTGCTTTTGTTCAAACAAAAACACACACACACACACACACACACACACACACACACACACACACACACACACACACACACACACACACACACACACACACACACACACACACACACACACATCAAGCTGGGGTCCGCACTGGCGACATCCCAAGGTCAGACGCATCGAGGTACAGGCCATCGGAGATACCAGTCATGGGTTGGAGTTGAATTGGACAGCCTACCTTGAAATAAACAGCAGGCTGCGGACAAGCAACTATAGGTATGCAAACGTCCAGAAACACCAAAGGCCGAACGGCTCAATATCTGAGAAGTACGGCAAGTCTGTGATGCCAGAAGCAATGTATTCAATAGAGGCTAATTACTAACTCGAAAACGCTCGCAATCTTGTCCTCTCACCTGTCGAGTGCATGACATACGTCGACTCATGTTCACACAACATCGATAAAGTCGAGCGGCGAAACACGATTTCCTTTGAGAGGGGTCACAAATTGTGTCTACTCTGTTGCGAGTGCAAGGTTGTTGGTATGCTGCGGAGCTATTTTGTAATTGCATTCGTTTCACCTGCTTGTAGCATTCGAACGCATCTTTTCGCGAAAGGGCTCACTATTTTGTCCTCGCAAGCGCAGGATGGTTGGGCATCGACAAATCATCTTAATCTTATGATACCCATCAACCAGGAGGTTCGTAATTTGGGGGTGGGATTGGGAGGGGGGGGCAGTGGTAAGCACACTCGCTCATGCGTGCGCAGTGCTGGGCGGGCGCGCTTGAGCGGTGCTCTTACCACCTGGCAGGCCTTTGTGCAGTGCTGAGCGGGTGCCCTTGAGTGGCAGTGGAAGCTGGCTACGCAACGGCCTGCAAGTGAAGACTACTGAAAGAGATTGAAACTTGGAGAAGGTGAAATGTGGAAACAACGGCAGAGGCTTGAGAGAAAGACACGAGGGTGAACTTTGGAGAACGAGTAGGTGAAGGGCTGATCAGCGTAGACTAGCGAAGACTAACGCGAGGTGGGCACTGGGCTGGAAAGTGGGAGGCCAAAAGCGCCTAGAGAATGCTGAAGACGGGGTCCAGCAAGAAAGTGGAGACTCTTGTAGTAGCACAAGGCCGAAAGGGGGAAAGAGGCATCTGGAGGCAGACCCTAGCATGTGACCAGCGACGCACTCACACGCGACCAAGCTCGAACGGGCCACACTAACGAGACGTGCTTCAGCTATAGCGGCTGTGTTCTATGTCCTACTTCAAGACTTCAGGCCTGCAAACCCTTTTGCCCTCCACTTTTTACTGTACAGCGTGTGCAAACTTGCTTGGCCGCATTAGCGACGCATCAGGAGAACAAGCTTTCGAGAGCGTCGAGGTTGATCCGGTTCGCTGCTGCCTCCCCAGTGCAGAATCACAGCAAGGAAGCCCCAAGTCTTTCTAGATAGCAGACTGATCACATTATACCTAAATGCTGAAACATTGCGTCTTGACTGCAAAGCGAGCCAGAAAAAAGCCACGTGCCTTGCCCTTCTTGGCCAAACCCATAAGCGCTGACCTCGACAGGGGTTCCCTGCTCACCAGACCCAGCCATCGCAAAATTGTTCACACGGAAGCTGAACATCCAGGCCCAACAGTTGTGAACAATGCAACTTGCACAAGTGCACACAGTCAATCTCTACTCACCACGTGATTGGGGTGCATACACCAGGGCAGCATGAGAACGATAAACTTTCGTAACCCAATGCAGAAATGCCACCAGTCTTGTGACCCTCGAACAAAAGCCCTGATGATGGATACACAGCTCTCCAAGCCCCCTGCTGGGTGCAGCTCGATGCAGAACCTCTCCTGCGAGAGCTTGTGGGGGCTTTCCTGGCCAGGCTGAGGCTTTGCCGTCACTTTCCCGGCAAACACAAGTGACCATCGGCAAGGCATTCCTTGTCTCCCCTTCAGGAGTGAATCGTTGAATTGCTGCTCAAAGCAGCATTGTCGCTTGCCGCACGTCAACACTGGGATGATTCAGCCGCTCCGGCCTGCTACTGCCATTGGTCTCGCTCGCGGAGTCTTGAGTGCCCTCTGCAGCTGACTTGGCCTTTTCGGCATTCACCTGGCAGCGTATTCATCATTTCACACATTGAGATAACGTTGGTGAGTTGACTGGAAACACGGACTCAGCCAGGTGAATCTCGAATGAGCGACTCGCTGCTGTGTGACATTGGACTGTCAGCTCCTGGGACCTGTGAGAAGAGATGGACATCTCGTCTGGTCGCCTATGAGCTGTAATGACACTGTAATGCGCCAAGCTCGCCACGGGTTACTCGCCACGGGTTATCCACATGCCCTCAAATCAGGCAACAAGACAAGCAGAACTGCCCACACTCGCCTGCTGCAAAAATGCAGAATGTACAGGAACATGTAAAGGCAAACAAATTGCTGAGCAATGTGCTGAGCGGCCTGGCGCAAAATTAATAAACCTGGAGAAGTCTATGCACGTCAGTGCACTCTATTGCAGTGCATGGGAAGCAGGCCAAAAGACACTGGACTTGGAAGTGGATGCGTGCCATGTCTACTGTGAGACCCCAATCGAACTCGCGCGCTTCACCCACATAAGCGCGCCGAGGCGGCGTGCTCGCGCATCTTCTTGCGCTTTTGCTGAGGCAGCAGGGCGAGTAATCAACACAACCCAACGACATGCTGAACTCCAGTATGTGACGCTTTGCATGCTTCATCTGGCTGCTTCCTGTAGCAAGTGCAGGTGCTCTTCACTTTGCTATTGTCACAGCTTGGACGTGCGCACATGTTCGGATTTGACCTGACATCTGATTCTTTGAATTGCCCCAACTGCCTAACCCCCTAGCACAAAGCGGATGCGAGTGCAGCCATCCATCCGCCTGCCTCCAAAGATCTCAAATGCCACTCCTGGCAAAAACAATAATATTCTACATCGGTCGAGTGATTGAATGCAGTCTTTGTGTTTGGATTCTGAATCAACGTCACCACAAAGTCGAGATCCAAGCAAATTTGTATTGAGGTAACACAAACAGAAACAACAGCGATGCACCAACCCGTGCTTTCGCTGCGATATGACCGCCAAAGTTTGGAGGCAACGATGGTATTCGCGGTGTTTGCGACTTTAGTGAGCCAGCCTCGAGGTAATCTTTGTTCACCTCAGCTGGAATGCTGAGGGCTGTTTGATACACCCATCATCTTGTGGACATGAAAGGGTGTCACATCGCCGGAATTCAAGCCGCGTGCGCTCGAAATCTCTCAAGAAATGTTGGCTACAGTCTGCGCAGTGCAATCACGCACACTCGCCTCCACACGCAGGGACAACCCTGACGCGTGCCTTTGATCTGGGGGTCACGCCTCATGCCAAATATCGGACTTGTGCTGCTTCTCCTGTTCGGGCAGAAAGATTGTCAATTAAAACAGCCCTGATCTGTAGTTGCCCATTGCTGAGCAGCCATGCCTGGGCATTGTGGTGTTTCGCGCTTGCATCCAACATATCGGGCAACAAAGCAGCCTTGAAAGATGCAAGTTTCAAGGCAACACTGCATAGTTCCATGCGAGTGAGCTGTGCGCTCTGCATGGACTCCCTTGCCAGCCAGGTGTCTGAAATGTGGGGGTATGGACGCTTTTGGCACTCCCCTCCTCTGCATCCAGCAAGTAGCGCTCAAGCTCTTCGTCATCGACATCATCCAGGGACTCAACGTGTTCATCTGGCCAGTTGCCGACAAGGATTTGGTCATTTAATGGAAGCAAAGGCGACTGTCAGTCTGCCACCATACACGAATCCGATGCAGAAGCTTGGAAGCTTGGAGTCAAATCAATTGGTCTCCGCCTGACTTCTTCCGATGATAAAGGTCCCCCTAATCATTACAAGCAACACTTTCAGAATTTCAAAAACATCCAGGTCCAGCAATACTAAATTTGGAGTAGCCAATTTAAAGCCAATACTAAAATAGTGATTTCCCTACCGTCCCTGACTCAGAAGAAATGGTCCCCGGAAAACTACCCAGTTTCTTTCAGACCCATCAAAATCCAAAGGAAGAGGAGTCTGAACCATCAAGATGCCAGAATTAAAAATTGCATCCTGGACGTGTTTTGTGTGGTACAAGAAAAGAAGAGCACTTTGCAGTAGACACATGTTTTTTTTCTTCGCCTGAGACATGTGGATTCCTTTCATTAGGGGGAAGAGATTAACTCGTTTGGTATCAAGGTAGAGTGAGCAAGCGCAAGACCATCTTTAGTCTTGAAAGCAAAACACAAGAGCAGTAGCATACATGCCCAAGGAAAAATGAGCCTTCTCGGAAAGCTCGGCTCTCCTGTTTGTTTTGGTCATTGAACTTGAACCTGTGACGTGGACTTGGAGATCGGGTGCCATGGCAACACACTGCGAGCCTTCCTCGGCTCGCGGCTCCTGGTGAGGCCATCGCAGGCCACTCGTGCATGTTGAAAAGATATGATATGAGAGAATCAACAAATCGCCCTGCTCCCAAGCAAAGGTTGTGTCAGAGGAAATTAAGGTCGCAGTAACTCGGGGTCCAAATACAAAATCAGGGCAAACATACGCCAGGTGAAGTGTAGCAGGCCAAATGTACACCAATGTCAGGCACAGTCTAGCAGGCCTTCGCCTCCGCAAACTCTGGCTTCCCCGCCATCAGCTTCTCCACCCTAGCGTCCAATGCAACTTGGGATCTTTCGAACGCCACAAGAAGGCTATGCAGACGGATTCTTTACCCCCCCCCCCACACAAGACCTGCCCGCCTCTCTTCCACCAGCGGCTCTTTGCGGCCTTCAAGGATGGACTCGATGCCGTGATGAGACCTGCCACTTGCGCGTGGGACCTGTTGACTCGGCTGACAAGTTGTTCTCAAAGGAGTCATGTGGTTTCTCTGAACGGGACATCCGGAGCAGGTGGTGTCCTTTGCTTTCCCCCAAAACAACACCAACAACAAGGTACCCTCCTAAAGCAAACATACCCATGTACTAACTTTGGGTTCCGGACATTGAGATTCCTCTGCGGCTGCTAGGCAATTGCTTCCTGTTCACGGAATCATAAACAACATGTATCCTACCTATATAAATACTCAACACACGCATGCCTGAGTTTTACCCATGATACACTGAGGTTCAGGCGCAATGTCCTTGGCAATGCCTCGCACTTGTTCCTCTGATGGAGTCCTAGCTGTGTACCTGCCGTCTCAAGCGCTTGGTATTCTTGAAAAACCCGGTTGCAGCATTGTATGAACACCAGCTCAGCATATG